GATGCGCAACAATTTACCCGATGTAATTATCAATATTCGTATATTTTCACTTCATGTATGAAGAGCAATTACGTGTCTCGTATATATTTGACAAATGAGCCAATTTGCCGAGCGGTTAAAACTGTGAAAGTTGGTGGCATTAAAAATTGCCGCCTCTCATAGAAATGTGCGATTGAATGAATAGAAATATGTAAATGCGTCGCAGGTGTAATTCTCGCGGCGCCAAATTGGGGCTCGTTATAATTAAAATTATAATTAATAACTACGGATAAGCGCGCGAGGCAGTAATTTAACAATCGGGCGATATTTTCAATTAAGTCGCGTAAGGATCAAACTAATATCATTAACGAGCCGAGCTCCAATTTGCATCTGCATTCCACGCGCGCGTGCAAACACGCCCGATGTATAAATATCATGCATTTAACGAAAATACGAAAGCACCCGCTTGTTTTCGCTCGTATCGCTCTGATATGAGGAAATTCAGATCGGGTGTCGAGTTACAATAAATGGGAGAATGCCCCGCTCGCGGGCCCATTCAGAGAACGGCGGGGACCAGACGCTGCGTCAACACGCTCCCATTGAATCGCGGCCGTCGCTCGCAATTGTGCAAAGTCTGGCTACGAGGAAAATAATTGCTGAATGTTGACAACGCCGGCACGTCAACCGGATAATTCCCTCGCCAATCGCGAATTATCTCGATGTGATTTCCCTCGGTTTCGGAAGTGCCGACACTCGCGCAATCATCGCGACAGCAGCATACATCAAACGACGCGACTCTCCCTTCCTTTTATTCCGGCTCTCCTCGTTATCGGCGCAGGTCATTTACCGATAAAGTGCGCTTAATTAATGTGCGCTTTCCGAACCGATCCCGATGCCACCTTCCCGATGCGTTATTTTCAGCCAGACGCGTTGCAATTTATTAAAAGACCACGACGCGATGTTATATAAACATTTCGCATCTCTATAATAACAGATTGCGCATTTATGTTTGCGGTGTGGCATTTAATCCGCTGAGATAAATTCACATCCAATTTACACTTAATAATTATCGTATAATTATAAAATATACGCTCGCGCTGTCTCTTTCTTTCTCGCTGTTCCTCAGCAGAAAACATCGAAGAGAACAAAAATCATATTTTCTTTTACCAAAACAATCTGGAAACTTTTTACACTTCCTTTCATTCCACAACAATTGAAGAAAGACATTCTAAAATAGAATTACAAATTTCACGTACATGAATTAACTTGAATAGTGATTAATCAAATGATATATAAATGTTAAGACAATTGCTGAAAATTACATTACATTTCCGCCATTCACTTTCATATACATGCAGAAAAGTATCATTCTACTGCTAAGAAAAACAGTTATTCAGTTTGCTTTCCTTTCCTTTCAACGATGATTATCTTCAGCAAAGAATATTTCCTTGAAAATAATCTTCAAATATATACAAGTTTTAGAAAAACGCATAATTATATACTGAAAAGAAGAACTTTCTCTTTCTTATTCTCTTCACAAGAATATTATAAAAATTTATCAAAGAGAAAGTGTTAGCTCGACTTTATATCTCGTAAGCAAATAAAAAAATTTCTTTTATTTAATATTATGTATTGAAACGCTAAATTTATTAGGATTCAAAGTGCATTCCATGAAATCTATTTTCATTGCAATAGTAAAAATAACCCGATACGAAATCAAGGTATATACTTTTGTTGAGATTGTTTATATAGTATATATTATTTTTTGTGGCAAAGACTATTTAAAACTAAAATGTTTGTAATTGAATCAATTACAATTCATACAACGATATAATGTAACAATAAATATTTTATTTAGCTTCAAAACATTGTCCCAGTCAGAAATGATTCGTCGAAACGACATCATCTCCGTTCTGACTGAGTATAGAGCGTATTGCAGGGGAAACGGGGGTGAGTTGGTTATAGGGATAAGTTGAAGCATCGTTTATATTTCGATTATTTTTTTTAAAAGCCCCGATCTCCCCTACAGTTTTATCCTATAATATGTATGTAATAATATTGCTGCGACGCGTCGTATTGCTTCGGTCATCCGACTATCGATCGTCGAAATGATTGTGCGAGGAGAACAGCTGATTTCCCTGGAGATGGAACTTAAGAGATCCTCAGATATTCTCTGGATACATTGCAATTTTGCAACCTATTTTGCACCAATAAAGTTCTTATTTTCTTTTTGTATTTTGTGGACTGTTATTTCCTACGAACGCGACGCGATATCGAATATTCGCGCGATCTAACAATACGTAGAGGAGTAATATAAAGTACTGGGGTGGTTTGACCTCGGCACCTTACAGGACTTTAATCCTTTCGCTACGGCTGATCTGAACGCGGGACTCTTCTGCTGCACGGATATTCAGCCGCGTTGAACGCGCATAATAAATATTAGTAGCTCGAGCGGCATCTGCTACAATTCGCTGTACAATGCATCTTAATTATGTTAATATGGAACAATAATTAATAAACTCATAATATTTGCATATGTTGCAAATATAAGTATTTATTTATATGTAATAAATGATTAATATATAAATAGAATAATAGTTTTCTTTTTTAATCTGAATAGAATATCTTTAACAACTTTTTTCATTAGCAACATTTTTTCTAATACGATCGAATGATTCTATTTCTACTCACGGTGTATTATTTTTAACATTATTTTGACCTTACTTTACGTCATTATTGACAAGTTAAAGATAACACATAAAGAAAATATATCATCCGAAATGTACGTACAAAATGTTAAAAATGGTGTATGTGCATAACTGCATCAAGAAGTAAAGTTTATGCTTACAAATAGATTTTTTTATCGCAACACGATATCATAAGCGTGAACTTTGCTTCTTGATGCACTTTAACACATGATTTTTAATAATTATTTTATATACACAACATTTCGGATGATATTTTTTCCTTATGTGTTATCATTAACTCGTCAATAAAACGAAGCAAAGTTCACGCTTATGATATCGTGTTGCGATAAAAAAATCTGTTTGTAAGCATAAACTTTACTTCTTGATGCAGTTATGCACATACACCATTTTTAACATTTTGTACGTACAATATTTCGGATGACATATTTTCTTTATATCTTATCATTAACTTGTCAATAATGACGTAAAGTAAGGTCAAAACAATGTTAAATCGACGTAAAATGTCGAGGTAAGATGACAACAATATTAAAAGCATCGTAAAACGTCAAGAAGCAAAGTTCACATTTACCAATAGATTTGCTTATCATTTTGCGCATAAAAATGAAATCGTTCGATCATATTAGAAAAAATGTTGCTAATATATAAGCTAATATATAAGCTAATATATAATATATAATATATAAGCTAATATATAATGCCGGAAAACTATTTCATATCATAAGTTAATAAAAAACTGAATCTTATATAAGAACTATCATTTTGTTAATATGTAAGTATTTATTATTCAATTGCACTACTATTTTGTGCTTGTCATTCTGCTATTATTTTGATATTATTGGAATTGTGCTGCGTTTAAAGTATCTGTCGTGATTCACCATTTTCCTGTCATTCTTTTATTTGGTGTCTAAAAAAAAAAAGTAATTTATGCAGCCAATAAAATGTCATTATTAACGATTCAACGGGCGTTTTATAAATATAAATATGAATATAAATTGTTTTCAGCTGATAAATTAAATTTTCTCTGGTTGCTTTATATTTCAAAATACCTATTTCACTATTTCGTACGCCTCTTTCTCTATTGTCACGACACGCACAAAACGCGAAATTATTATTCTGCTTTAATGAATTGATTTATTTTGCGTTCATTACGTATATTTATTATTAATAAAGAGGAGAGAAGAAAAGGGAAGCAGGCGGTAAAATAGAAAAGGCAATAATTATTCATGATATTGACATTGCTCGATGAGCCTCTCGAGTGCAAAAAGAGGAAAATACGGCATGATTTTAAAGCTTCAGAAACTTAGGTAAAAAGATTCAAAATCATGATATTGTGTATCTCAAAAAATAACCAAATTTGTCACGAAAAAATCTTTGTTATCAAAATCAGGTTTGAAAAATAAATGCAATATATTTATAGAAAATGTAAAATATTAGTAAATATTATATTATATTAGTATTATATTAATAAATATGGAGTAAAAAATATTTATAATATTTATAAGAAAGAAGTTACAGGAACATTTGGTCCAAGAATTTAGTAAACTATATTCAAAGCGCCTAATTGTTGTTACGGCTTCTACATTACATCTACCTATAGCACGTCTATAGTACAATATTATCATCTCGTTTTCCTAAAAATTGAATCATGAAAACATTTGTTATTTATTATATATAGATGAATTCGTCTCTTTAATTTTTGTTCTCACAAAATTGTTTAATTTTGCAAAATTATTGAGTAGAAGTGGGAATACATTAACAAATTTTGCATTTTCGAATAATGTGAATATACTTTTATATAAAAACTACTCAACTTGTGTATTTAACATTTTTTCACATACCTCATAGTTTCGAAGATATTCGCTAATAAAAACTCTGTTATTTTCGAGGGATTGTTTCAATACCTAAACTTTGATAAGAGCACATATAAAAAAATATGGATCTCTTATTTTTCAATTTTCAACATATTCTACGCCCATCAAGATCAAGGGACAATTCTGACCGCGCGTTCTCTTGTCCTAAAAAATTCCTATTAAAACTGCTAAAGTTTTCTGTTTAAGTCAACGGGAAATATTCTTGATAATTTTGATTCAGTTAACTTCTTTGAAAACTTCAATCTGATAACTTCAATCTGAATGCTCATATTTCACCAGAGACTGGTTCATCTGACTTCTTCTTTCCTGGATTTGCGAATACACAAACTTAAAAAATGCTCGAAACAAGTAACATTTATTTGAATGCAGTATATATATATTTCTGTTTGTGGGATCTGCAAACGCGAGAATTACAAAACGCACGAACTCGTTTGCATTACAGACTCCGGCGAGAGTAGCGTGATCTCTCCGGGCTTGCCGGAGCGTTACAGCCCTTTGGGAGCGACTGGATCCACATCCAGCCACGACCCTTACGCCTCCCGTTCGGTCCAGGAATGCCCGGTGCCACTTTGCAGAGGGATGCCGACAGACTTCCCCCTCGCCCGATCGCCGTACCTGACCGCGCTTGGGAACGGTCATCCCCATTTGCTGGGTCAGGTGCAGCATCAGCAGCAGCAACAGCAGCAGCAACAGCAACCGCAGCAGCCGCAGCACGGTAGCAAGCCACCACGTAGCCTGGGACTGATATGCGTGGTCTGCGGGGATACTAGCTCCGGCAAGCATTACGGAATACTCGCCTGCAACGGCTGCAGCGGCTTCTTCAAGCGGAGTGTTAGGCGAAAGTTGATTTACAGGTGAGTTGGGAATGAAACTCGACAGAACTCGGATATATCGATCATCCCAGAAGTAATTTTGTGCATGCTATCATCGACAAAACTACGAAGATTTAGATGATGAAAATATTTTTGATTAAAGCTTAATATCTTTGTTTTTTCTTTCATTGAAATTTGGGGTTACAAATAAATAATTATTTATAGGATTTGCTGATTTAAACTTGTACATGTGTAAAAGTAGAACATTTAGAAGTACCTAGATTTTTTATAAAAATAAAATTGAAGCAGTTGTAAAATGAAAAACATCGAAAATTTAGATGATGAATATATTTTAAATTAAATCTTAATATTTTTTTAAATTCTTTCTCACTAAAATTTGGGATTACAAATGAGTCATTACTTGTGTGATGACCGACGTCATTTAGATTTGCACACACATGCAAGGTTTTTTATAAAAATGAGATTAAAATAGTTATAAGATAGAAAACGTTGTAAATTTAAATAATGAATATATTTTGGATTAAATTTTAATACTTTTCTGTTTTTTTTCTTTTCATTGGAATTTGGGATTACAATTGAGTAATTATTTTTGGGATGACCGATACCATCTGGATTTGTACATGTAAGGGTGGAATATTTAGAAACACCTGGACCATGAGGATCTGCTCGACACAATTTATTTCATTTTTAAATTAAATATGATGCCTGGGGGTTTACATGTACAAGTACTACGAGTAAATATAATAAGTATACGTATATTTATACGTATTTGAAAAAATATATACATATATAGTAAATATATATTTATTTTTTATGTTGAAACTTGGAATATTCATATTTAGAGACTAAACAATAAAAATCTCCAGAATTTAGCCGGGCACTGGTACTTTTATTTTAGATCGCGATTATATCAAAGTTCAAACGCGCGAGGAAAGAATTATTGTTATTGAATAACGAATAACAAAAGCCGATGAAGATATGAGTATTTATATAAGTTTAAAACAATCGCTATCAACAAAATATTCTTTGTTGAAGATAACCATTACTTAGAAAAAGAAAAGTAAACTGAGAAATCGCTTTTCTTGACAAACGATATATTTTTCACTGTGTCTGTATATATTTTTTATATTGAAAGTTTAAATATTTGTATATTTAAAGACCAAACCAATAAGAATATCTAGGAATCGGTAGCTGCACTTTACAGATCGCGGTGCAATAGATCGAAAAAACCCCTCGATCGCGACGAATGGAAGTAAGCGAGATCGCGCGACGCCGGCGCAAGAAAGGGAATCGGCGAGGTGTCATACAGCGCGCGCGATCAGTTAACAATATTCGCCACGGTCAAACGTCCCTCATGCGCGATAGTTCATCGGTGCACTCGTTAACAGTCCGGCAACTCAATCCGCGCGACGGGAACAAAAAGTTGTAACGCCGTATCGTGTATCGGCCAGGCGCACCATCCGACTCGGCGCTTTGCATTTCGGTCACGCGCACCGAGCCTGTTCATTTTTCAAAGAGCACGCTCGCGAAGCACGGAGGGTTAATAGTTTGCGTATCGAGTGTTGCGCGCGCGCCTGCGTGCGTAGGATCGGGCCGGGACAAGCGGCTCGCCGGCGATTCCGGCTCGCGAGAGGGATCCGATGGAGATGGATGGCCGTTCCCGGGGGACGGTAATAGCTCCTCGAACGAGCACCACCGACACCGGCTTTGCCGGCTCCGGATAGCGGGCTATAACCCGTCGTACGGCACGGCACGGTATGGTGGCGGCTCTCTCCGGCCAGCAGCTCTCGATGGGCCCCCGCCAGCTCCGACATTATGCCGTGCCGCGCGCGCGTTGTGGCCCCGGCATTTAGGATGAGCCCACTCGACTTGGCCCACATGGCTCCGCTCGACGCTTAACTCGATATTAACCCCGAATGATATCGCCGGCCACCATAGAAATGGGTGGCCGCTAGGCCACCCTCTTCAATCTCGAATTTGCGAGGCTGCCGTAAAATCAGGGGGATAACGGGACGCGTTGGCTATACACCGAGAAAAATATCATTCTACTGCTAAGGCTACTGCGACTCCTCGGTTTACTTTATCTTCTTTGAAGCAAAGGTTATCTTCAGCAAAGAATATCTTCTTCGAATATACTCGTCACAAACTTCAGGAAAGCTCATTATCATGTGCTTAAGAGAAGAATGTGTTCTCTCTGCGAGGATATCATGAAACTTTATCTAAGAAAAAGTTGGCTCGACTTTACTCTACTACTAGTCTACTATGTAGTAAGTAAGGCGAGTATTTGTTTTATTTCATATTCCTGATTGAGACGCTAAACTCACTAGGATTTAGAATGTGTCTTGAATCAATTTGATGCTCGTGATGATCTTCTGATAGATTCGCGGATATGTAAATTAATGAGATACTTGAAACAAGTAACATTTACTTGAGTGCATTTCTCTGTGTGTACGCGGGAGATACCATGAATCGAAAGCTCGATGAAATTCTCGGGTAAATACTAGTATTAAGACAGAACTTAAAAGATCATCTGGACAAACTCGGACACTGAGAGAATTATGCAAATAGCATACTCTTGATAAGTTACAAAAAGTTTCATCTCACTTCTAACAGTTCCTGAGTTATAAGGGAAGACAAACAAACAAATATACATACAGGATAAACTAAAAATCTCCTTTTTCAAGTTCGTTGAAAACTAATGTACTTTTTCAAGAAATATTTTTCAAGAAATATTTTCATTTCTACAACTTTAGCTAACTGCATTATATACATATATATATATATATATATATATATATATATATATGTATATATATATATATATATATATATATATATTTTGCCCGAATAAAAGTTAAATAAACGTGAAGTCATGATGTTTATTTTGAGGATGCTGAAGTTGAAACTTTACCGACAGAATACTGATATTTTTCTGCGAAGTTTATGCCGTTCTGATTGTACAGAATTACAAATGTTTTTACGCAATGAAAGCACATACAAAAATAAATAAAAGCATTGCTCAATATGAAACCGAAAAAATACTTTAAATATAAAATCTCAAGCTGTCAATTAGCATAATATTTGCCTAATCCAAAAGTTCCGCAATTTGTACATACCGAAAGTGTGGATGCATCAAACAGAAAAATTTTGAAGAACATCGCTGTATTTTCGCATCTGAATTCAGAATTAAAAATATCGGAAAAGTTTGCAGAAAGATTTCTACACATGCGTGATTAGGTTCTACGCTGAATAAAACAAAGCAATACACATTTATATAAGTTCTGTATGTACAAGAAATACGAGAAATATAGCGCGATTGTGTTAGTGATAATCGTCTCTGCGTTATCGACATTGTTCGAGTTCGTCATTGACTTCAGCATCCCCTTAACGCGATATGCAGTTCAAAGTGTCTAACTATTTTGGGTGGTGACGACAAACTTGTTTTGCGATCAAACTTGTTTTCATTAATCTCGTGATCGCCGGCGTATTTGTTTCAGCATTGACGGTCTCCGAGCAGCTCTTTGTTATCTCAAAAAAAAGGGAAAGAGCCGCAAATGCTTATTTGCACAATCCGATCTATATTTGTATTTTACCGAAATGCTCACCTTATCGAATGTTTATTAACGGAAGATCCGCGAATCAAGCCGCCCGTCTTACAGAGCAAGCGTACTGTAATCTACGCTGTAATTTCCGTGTTTATTATTTTTTCACGAATGTGTTTCACCCGGAAAGAACACGTCGCGCGTCACAATCGAATCGCGTTGGCTGAAAAAATCTTTCGGGAGGAAAGAGGAGAACGCAGACGGGAAATAAAACGATTCAACGTTCGATAACTTCGAGGCACAATATAGTCGGTGTTTAATGTTTGGAATCTCGCGATATGTCGCGTCGCTTCCTTATCAGGATAATAAAATATCGGGACAACAAAATGATAATTACTGCAGACAAGCGGAATGGACATTTAACGTGTGAAAAAGAGGAAATCTAATATATTTCACTCTTTAGAATAGGAAACGTGCGTTTCTTAGCTTATATTAGACATCTGGTTACCGTAGATGTGTTATAAGGTTGGCACATTATCGCACACAAAACACAGACCAATCTTCTTTAATTAATAACTAAAAATCTGCGTGGTTATTTGCAAAATGGTAGAAAACTTTTTTGTTCAATTTACTCAGTATACAGCATATGACGGCAAATATCGCCATCACATTCATCTACTGTATCACACGTAATCATTCATCAATCTTTTTAACTAATAACTAAAAATGTTACATGATTATTTGCGAAATAGTAGAAGAATTTTTAGTTTAATGAATTTTATCTGCACACAACACGTGTGTCATTAATTGTCAAACATCCTGTGTGTGTGTGCGCGTGTGTATACACATACATATATATCGTACATGTATATATATATATATATATATATATATATATATATTTTTTTTTATTAATGATAAATTACACCTATAAACTAACCGTCTAATAAAGGATTAATCGTCATTAGAAACGTGAAATTTGATGGATCTCTTTTTTTTTCTTTGGTTGTATTTTATTTTCTCGAACCTTATATAATTTAACTAATAAGTGAGTAAAATTTAACTAATAAGTGAGACTAAATAAGTTTAAATAGTGAGATATTAACGGCACATAAGGAGCAGGCACGGATGTCTTAGTGCTATTAAATACTAATATTACTTTTTAATATTAATATGATTGTGGGAGGATAAAATTGTCCAGTATGTTAAACGCACGTATCGAAATTTTTCTTCGATTATCGTACTTTCCATACTTAGACCGATCCTTTGAGTCCCAATTTTTAAATACTCAAAGGATCGGTCTAAGTATGGAAAGGTTGATTCTCCTCGTACGATAATCGAAGAAAAATTTCAATACGTGCGTTTAACATACTGGACAATTTTATCCTCCCACAATCATATTAATATTAAAAAGTAATATTAGTATTTAATAGCACTAAGCATTCGTGCCTGCTTCTTATGTGCCGTTAATATCTCACT